CACTGGGCTGCACTGGGCTGCAGCGGGATGTGCTGGGTTACACTGGGCTGCACTGGGCTGCACTGGGCGGCATGGGGCCGGCGGCTGCCGCGTCCCCGCTCACCTCTCCCGAGGGCGGCCAGCGCGCGCCGGTCCCGCTCCAGCGCCGCGCGCAGCGCCGCCGTCTCGGCGCCCAGCACCTGCAGCTGCGGCGGGACGCGCTGCTGGCGCCGGCCCCGCGGACACCCGGGCCGGGCCGGGCCGCGCGCCGCTACCTGCGCCTGCAGCTCCCCGTTGCGGCCCCGCAGCTCCTGCAGCTCGGCCACCAGGTCCCGGTGCTGCTCCTGCACGTCTGGGAGGCAGCGGATGGGAAAACGGGTGGGAAAACGGGTGGGAAAACGGGTGGGAAAAGGGGAGGCTGCTCTGCCACAGGGCCCGCCCGGGTGTTAACTCTGGAGCGGAGTGACGGCTCTGTGCAGAGCTGAGCCCAACAACAGGCAGGCTGGCTGCAGGCAGCAGCAGCCCCGAGCACAGAGAAAGAGGATGGGAAAAGAAGAAGTTTGGGCAGCGGCGTTTTCATTTCGCCTTTTCCCCCCGCCCCCAGGATCGTTTTCTCTTGGCTAACGTACCACGAGGCCAGGACACCGTGTGAAAGCAGACCCGGGACGGGGTGGAAGAAGACACAAAACGGGGTGAAAGCAGACCCAGGACGGGGTGGAAGCAGCCCCAGCAGCCAGGCCGGGGCCCGCGGGAGGATGCGGTGGCCTGGCCACCAGTTTGCCACTTCTCGGAAAGGGCCGGGCTGCTGCCCTTGCATGATTCCGTGTGGCCAGTGCCCATCCGGCTTCCTCTTCGCCTTGCTGGGCTCGCTCTGCTTGGCCACGGTTAGTTTGGGAGCAATTTAGGCAATGCTGCAATTGCTGTTAATTAGTTAGTTCCATTAAGTGGAACTGGGCATTGTGCAGGTGCTGAGCGTGCGCCCAGCAGCGCCGCTCGCCCCGTCCCCGGGGGGGAAACTTGGAATTGGGAAGGCAGCGGCAGCTGGAGCTGTGCGGGAGCTGGGAGCCGCGATGGGAGCTGGGAGCTGGAGCAGGAGCCGGGATGGGAGCCGGGAGCTGGAATGGGAGCCGGGCGGGAGCGCAGCCTGTCTCACCTCGGGGCGGCTGCGGGACGCGCTCGGTGCCGGCGTCGGGGCCGGGCGGCAGCGCCAGGCTGAGCCGCTTGAGCCGCGCGTTCTCCTGCTCCACCTGCGGCGACACGGAGCCGGGCCGGCAGCACCGTCCAGACCGGGAGCACTGCCCGGACCACCCCCTCCGGGCCATTTCCCCATCCCAAAATCCCCCCCCGCACACACGGGCTGCAAGCTCCGAAGGATATGCAAGCGCAAAGCCCCCAGGAAAAGGGCTGCCAGGCTTGGGAAAAGGACAGGGAGGCAGCCAGGCACCCCAGCCACAATTCCCAGTGCAGGAACTGCCAGCAAAACCCACAGGGAGTCAGTGCCCTTTGGAAATTTTGCCATGCCAATCGAAATTCCAAATTGAGCCCGTTTCGGGCTGGATAACGGCAAGTTTCCACCCGGCCAAGCTGTGGAAAGGCAGCCCTGCGAAGCCTCCCCGGAGCAGCAGGAGGGTCCCTGCCCGGGGACGCGCCGGGCGCGCGGGTCCCGGCGGGAGCGCGATGCTCCAGGGCCGCGCACGGCTCCCAGCGGCTCCCTGGCCCGTTTGTCCCTTGTTCCCAAAAGGAGGCGTCACGGAGAGGCAGGGCAGGGCTCACCCGCGCCGCGTAGGCCTCGGCTTCCCGCCGGCACGTCTGCTCCACGTCCACCTGCGCCTCGAGCGCCGACAGCTCGGCCAGCAGCGCCTGCGACGCTGCGCCGCAGCCCTCAGCTCCCGCCTTCCCGTGGGACACTTGGGAAAACCCGCCCTTGGGGGCAGCTCCCGAGGGGACATCCCATGGGAGCCGGGCGGTCCCACGCTAAGCCAGTCCCGACCCCCCCTATTGCCCTGGATGGGGCTGGGGCTAGATGTACCGGCTGGGAATGGGGCTGGATGTACTGGCTGGGAATGGGGCTGTATCTACAGGCTGGGAATGGGGCTGGATCTATGG